TGGCATTTAAAAAGTGGACATAAATTTTTAGTTACCTAACAATTGGCCATAAATTTTTGATCACTGAAAAACGCATGACATAAATTTTTGCTCACTTAAAAACTGGCATTAAGTTTTTGGTCATTCAAAAACTAACTGGATGTAAAAAATATTCCAAGTACGAATTGGTTAAAGGGGTCAGAGTAAATACAATGCGCAGGGTTTCACAAAGGTCCTAGAGTTAATTGCGTCCTGCATTGCGAAATTTTCCTTCACTTGACTTTTCAAAAAAAATCCCTAATCACATCAGTGATTATTTAGGGAGCATATTTTTTGCGTCTCCCAATACTTAAACCTTAAGCGTTTTCTGCGCTGCTGAGCTATCTAATTTATTTTCAGTAAATTTTCCCAGTTGTGTATTTTGTCACATTCGAAACTTTTCACCAACTACCGACCAAATACCCACATTGTCACAACGCATCCCCAAGGCTCGGCTAAGCTCAAAAGCAAATCAGGCAGCGACTTTCAATGACCTTAAATGTCCACATTTTCAGTTACATATCTTCAGCGAATATCCAATGTGCTTGTGCTATATTTTCTTTAAGCAAATGAAAATCTGGGCACTTTAGTTGCAGAAATTTGTTTTTTTTTTACCTTCTTTCGTACACTTTTATTTACTTTGATTTTTAGCTCCTTCCTACCGTCGAACAGTTTTCTACGATTACGAACGCAGAATGTTTTATTCCGCCACGTGTAGTTAGTTAGATCTCCTATCGCCTTGTTGCAATTCAAAAATAATTGCAAACCAATTCTTCTTTGTTTTTGAAAGTCAAAAACTTTTGGACAAGCCAACCAAGGGAAGCCAAAAAGCCAAAAAACGAAAGCACACAGCTGCGGTACATAGCAGCTTTGAAGTGCGCACCTAAGCCTAGGCGACATAACAAAAAAAAAAAAAAAAAAAAACAACAATCGAGTATTATTTGTTGTCGTTTTGCCAAAGATTTATTGCAGTTTTGCCCGTAAATTTCAGGGACAATTGCCAAGCATATATTTGGCAATACAAAAAAAAAAAAAAACTATGATACAACAACTAAACGCAAAGGCACACAAAACTTGAAAGGAAGCGAATCAGTTACGGTTGGTTGGTAGTTTTAGTTGGTAACTTTCTTTGACTTTTATACGCTCGCGCATGTGTGGGCGTGTGGGTGTGTGGGTGAGTGGGTGCTTGTTGTCACCATTAGTGGTGCGTTCGTTTTCACTTGCCACTCTGACACTTTCATTGTTTGGTTTGTGTGCTTTGGCAATGTCATTGCTATTGACGCCTTTGTTGAATTTATGTTTCTTTTTATGCAGCTATTTTGGCCAAATTTGCTTTTCATGCATTCGTGGCGCTTTTTAGTTTCTGCTTATTTGTTGCTACATATTTACTTTTTTATCGTCTTTGTATTGCTGTTTTATGGTTTATTCGTGATATGGCTACAATTTTCACTTTCAATGTCATCCTCCAACTTCTCTTCTCCGTTTGTTTTTGTGGAGTTTATAGCTACTTTTGTTTCTGTTGTTGTTGTTATTTTTCTGTTTACGTCTGAGTTATCACCCTCTTCCGGCTGATATTGAACGCTCAGCGGAGCAAACTTGTAAAAAGTTTGTTGTCATTGTTATTTGCAAAATTTTTGCTGACTGCTTTATTGTATTCATTGTTGTTGTCGCGTTCGCTATATGCGGAAGACATGCATACATATGTACATGTTCCTATATTGAGTACATATGAGTTGTTTATTTTGCAAGTGGCGTAAGTCCTTGCCTACCTCTCATATTTTTTATGCTACTTACTTAAATATTTCTCTAATATTTTCTTCGACTCCCACGACTTGCCAACCGCTTTGTACCTACTCTTCATCCTGCTTTCCTCATCGTTGCCCTTTACATACTTTCACTATTGTTGCATACTTTCAAGCGCCATAACTTATATCAATGTGTGCACTCAGGCGCCTCTAAGTTGCGCGTACGTCTAGCATGTATGAGCGTATGGCTTAACCAAAAAGTCAAGTGGCGGTCAATTTGAAAAATTGCAACTCTTCACAGTTGGTAAGTTGTTTGAGTGAAAAAGCTTGTGAAAGCTATTGAGTTACAATTTCGTCATGATAACAAACTATTATGTGCATACGATTGTAAAGTATACTTTTGGGTACACTTGGAAATATGTCAAACAGTTAGCAGAATAACTTAACTTAACAGCGCAATTCTGGCAGCTGTCTTTCAACTCACCACAGTCTTTTCAAACTGAAAGTCTTTCGTAACCCAATTGTCAATTCTGGCAACTACTTATCTGGAAAGCTCGTTACTCTCCCTCGAAAGACAAATAGAAAGACCTGCTAACGAGGAGGTCTTAGCGTCGTGCTATTCGCCTTATAGCAATAAGTTATTTAAAAATTAAATTGAATTAAAACAATATATATATTTTTCTTCTTAAAACAATAAAAATTAATAAACAAAAGAAAATAATTTTACAAGAGAAACGAAATAAAATGAAAATAAAGCAAAAATAAATATTTTTGAAAATTAATTGAAAAAAATATAAAAATTTTTTTTTTTTAAAACAATAAAATCTAAAAGCTAAAAGAAAATTAAGTTGGAAAAAAAATTAAACCAAAAAAGAAAACAATACTTAAAAATTAAACCAAATAAAAAATAAAAAATGCGTGTGTAACACCGTACAATGATAGAAGTGAAACTTCTTAAAAAAAGGTGTGAGTACCAGATACCTACTCACGAAATTGGATGTGTAAACATATGTTTACGGTTCGGCAAACCATTAGGCGATTGAGTTACAACATACATAGGTTTGGTTAGAAATCAAACAATAATTTCATTTCATCTTATTAATTTTCTGATATACATACATATAATTTATTTATACATTTTCCGGTAACACCACCTTATACGAATTCGCGCTTTTAGCATCCATAGGACCGGGTTGTAATGGAAGTAATTGAATGTTTAACAAATAAATAAAAATGTTTATAATGCAATCAATAGATCCCTACGAATTCGCCATTACCAAGGCACTAAGTAACGTACGCACTTTTGTTTGCAAAATGCATTTATTCAAGTTCATATATTCTTATCACGAATTCATATATTCATGTGGTGGCAAGAGTATAAAAACATAAAATTACTTTATAAATTAAAAGCATAAGTATCACATGTATGCGTAGTCCAATTCACGAAATCATTTCACTAGTAAAAAC